ACAGAGACGGTAGCAAATATTTAAACGCATATATCATGTACCCAGATCTGTTCTAAATATTTTATACATGTATTCCCATGAAAGTCCTGAGACCAATGTCTAGTTTTACTGACTTATGGTGGTTTGAATGAGAATACAGGCTCATGTATACTTGGTTCACAGTTGGCAGAACTGTTTAGGAAGGATTAGGAGGTGCAGTTTTGTTAGAAGAGATGTCCCAGGTAGGGTGGGGGTAGTTCCGGGTGGAAATGAGCTTTCAAAAGCCCACACTCTTCTCCCCATCCCTGCAGCCTTCAGGATGTGTCAGGTGAGAGCTCTCAGCTACTGATCTAGTAGCATCCCTGTCTGCCTGCCTTCATGATCCCCACCATGATGATGTTCATGGACTCTGTGGTGCTTTGAATCTGTGTGGCCCAGGGAGTGTCACTATCTGGAGATGTGGCCTTGTTAGAGTAGGTGTGGCCTTGGAGGAAGTGTGTCACTATGGACATGGGCTGTAAGACCCTCATCCTAGCTACCTAGAAGCCAGTCTTCTCCCAGCAGCCTTCAGATCAAGATGTACAACTCTCAGCTCCTCCTGTACCATGCCTGCTGGATGCTGCCATGCTCCAGCCATGATATGATGATAATGGACTGAACCTCTGAACTTGTAAGCCAGCCCCAATTAAATGTTCTCCTTATAAGAGTTGCCTTGGTTATGGTGTCTGTTCACAGCAGTAAAACTCTAACTAAGAAAGACTCTTAAGTAGCCCTAAAAACTGTAAGCCCTAAATTAAACACTTCCTTTCCAAAGTTTCTTGGTCATTGTGTTTAATCACAGCAACAACAAAGTAAATAAGATACTCAAGAATCTGAGGCACAGAAAATACTGTGCTGAAGGCCACAGAGCTATTGAAAGACAATTTTAACCTAAGCAGTGTGGCTCTCAAATCTGGTTCTTAGCTACTGTACAATACAAAAAGTCTATACTCTTCACTGTAAGCCAATAAAATTGCACTCAAAAGTTTACAATTTCCAAAGTGTAATTCATGAATACCTGTGTAATACATGGTTTGAACAGCATTGTGAATTTGGACTAAAACTACTTAACAAATAATAAGTAAAAACCACAATACTTTCAAAACAAAAAAATTTTTAATAGCTATGTTTATGAAACTTAGCATTTAAATTGCTAAGATATACAAAATTGATTTTTGACCATGATAAAGTGATTGGATTACTATAGCTCAAAGAACTAGAAAGCTAAGTTCAAATTTTTACTGCTACCAATAGGGTAATAAACATGACAGAATAGATTTTTCTCTTCATATTGAACTTGAACCTAACAAGAACTATTATGATTGTATTATATCAGCTAAATGAAACTAAAAACCTAAAATATCTCACTTAAAATAACTCACTGTAAACAATTTCAAAAGGTATATTATACCATTCAAAACACTATTACATTTTAAATTTCAGGAAATATTTGGAATCAATTAAAAGACATTAAATTATCTCATAATATTTCAATATTTATGTCTCACTTGTCCATGTTCTGTTCCTTACATTTCAGATGCTGCCACTTTTTAAATATTTATTTATGTGTGTGAGACTGAGTGTGTGTCTGTGAACCACATGTGTGCAGGAACGTGCAGAGGCCAAGAAAGGGTACGATATCTCCTAGAACTGTACTTACAAACGTCACCATGTAGGTACTGACAACCAAATCTAGATCCTCGGCAAGAAAAGTACGTATAGCCACTGAGCCTATCTCCAGCCCCTGGACAATGCTATTCTTTCCCTTCAAAACAGGCATATTTGTAGCAACGGAGCTGCTGTGGAGTATTAGATATATCCTCACTTATATAGTTAAAATAATAATGCAACATTTTTTACGTAAAAAAGACATTTTAGCTAACAAATACGTATCCTATAACAGTTAAACATCATAGTCCAAATAATTATTTTAATTGATATCTATTTTAAATAAACTATGTATCTGTGCTGATGTACCTTTAATACATCAAAAAGTCACATTAAACAGTGACATTTTGATGTTCAAATTATTTTTTTTTAAAGATTTATTTATTTATTATTTCTGAATACACTGTAGCTGTCTTCAGACACACCAGAAGAGGGCATCAGATCTCATTACAGACGGTTGTGAGCCACCATGTGGTTGCTGGGATTTGAACTCAGGACCTCTGGAAGTGCAGTCAGTGCTCTTAACCACTGAGCCATCTCTCCAGCCCTTGATGTTCAAATTATAATGTCTTTTTGTTTTTAAAAAGTATATATTTTTATAAGACTAAAAGATTGCGAAAAATCAGTAAAAAGGAAAAGCACTGTGTTACACTGAACTACATAATTTTGCAATCTGGAGATGGGCATTCTGTTTATCCTCAGGTGGCTTTTAAGTTTACTGTCAGAACTATGATCTATTAAAAACCCAAACTCAAGATTTTTCAAAACTGGATGAAACAAGCAAAACTAGATACAAGAGCCAATATTCACTAACCAAACATTGTAAATACAGTATTAGAGAAAAAATATTAGCAATGAAAGAATTTAATAAATTTCACTTTCCTATTGGAATCTTACTTGCCAGTGTGCTGGAGAGATGACTCAACAGTTAACAACACTTGCTACTCTTAGCACCCGCTGCTTGTGCAGACCGAGGTTCGGGTCCCAACATCCATATGGCAGTTCACAACTACCTATGACTCCAGTTACAGAGGATTCATTCAATGACCTCTTCTGATTTCCTCAGTTATCAGGCATGCATGTGGTATACATATATAGATTAGGCATTCACACATACACACAAAATAAAACTAAATGCATCTTTAAAAAGAATCTTACTTTCCAAGGCCAGGTTTGATGGTTCCCACCTAAAATTCCAGCACTAAGGAGGCTGACAATGGATTTCCGTTAGTTCTAGGCCACCCTGGCTAGAAAGAACTCTCTCAAAACAGCAAAGCAAAGCAAAACATGAGTTTCTAAACAATCATAAACATCTCTGTTTTTGGAAAAATGCCCCCCCCGAATAATCTCCATCGTATACTGTTTCACAAGTGGGACATCTTCCATAAGTCTTTGTTCTTGCTTATTGGAGTACAGCCTCCATAGCTAACTGGCAAGACCAGACATTCCATCAGAAAAAAAAAAAAAAAAAAAAAAAAAAACTTGAATCAATATTTACCAATAACAAAGTAAGTTATTTTCATAAACAGCCTCCCAATCATGCAGGTGTACTTGTTCCTACAGTCTAAAATTCTCTATGTGTGGCCAGCTAGATGGCTCAGAAGGTAAAAGTTCTTGTCACAAAGACTGGATAACCTGCAGACTCCCATGTTTGAAGGAAGAACTAAGTAAGCACTACAAGTTCTCCTCTGAAAACTACACACACACACACACACACACACACACACACACACACAGAGAGAGAGAGAGAGAGAGAGAGAGAGAGAGAGAGAGAGAGAGAGAGAGAGAGAGAAGAGTCTCACACAAACATACACACATACAATAAATAAATTACCTATCCATGGAGTAGTATCAGACAAAAAGACTTAAATATGAACTCAGGAGCTAGAAAAAAATTATTCTTTAACTAATTCTTGCTATTAAGACCAATAGCAAATTAAGTCACAGAAAATGTAAAACATAGCCGGGCGGTGGTGGCACATGCCTTTAATCCCAGCACTTGGGAGGCAGAGGCAGGTGGATTTCTGAGTTCAAGGCCAGCCTGGTCTACAGAGTGAGTTCCAGGACAGCCAGGACTACACAGAAAAACCCTATCTTGAAAAACCAAAAAAAAAAAAAAAAAAAAAGAATATTAGAGAATGTAAAACATTAAATGCTTTTACACTAAAAAGTAGCATTAGGGCTGGAGAGATGGCTCAGCAGTTAAGGACACTGATTGTTCTTCCAGAGGTCCTTAGTTCAATTCCCAGTAACCACATGGTGGCTCACAACCATCCATAATGAAATCCGATGCCCTCTTATGGGGTGTCTGAAGACAGCTGCACTATACTTACATATAATAAATAAATAAATAAGGCCAGAGAGAGCGGGGCCAGGCCAGAGCAAGAGAAAAAAGGGAAGGGGAAAAATAAAATTAAAAAAAAGCATTAATGCACATATGTTTCTTACATAACATCCCTTTCTGATGATTTTAAGAGAATATAGATATGCTCTTAAAAGGCTAATATTTAATCTATAAGTTTGGACTTTTGCAGTCAATAACATAGCCTTGTCTCCATTGCCTGCACTTTACCTTTTACAGACGAAATAAATTCCAATGCTATGCACTGCAAACTCTTCCTTTGCCATCATTATCCATACTTCCTCTTTATTTTTTCCTCAATTAAGCATTTCCTGTTATGTTATATTTGATTTAATTAAAAGTTCTTAAAATTTGTGAGACAGAGTGAAAACAACAAGGTTTTGAAAATACAATAAACATATTCCCACTAAAGCATCCTTTACAGCAGTCAACAGCTGTAAGAGAATAGGCAGTGAATGGAAACATTAATGAATAATAGGAAAATTTCAGGTCAATAATTAAAAACTTCTCCTAATAAAGTATAACCAAATGACTATAAAACTAGTGACCTATATGCAGAATTTGATTGATAAGATTTTTAGTAATATCTATATTTTATATTGAAAACTAAAATTTGAAAAAACACCTTTGTTGACTATCTTAGGTATGTACAAAAAAATGATAAACATAAAAATGAGATACATATGGAAAATATAGCATTTTGCTTCCTTTTTTCAGAGTACTATAAAGTAGCCTATAGAGAGTAAACCTTTATGGAATAGAATTTCATGTAAATGGCAGGCAGTATGAGGGAAGACATTATGAAGATAATTACATGTGGTGATACAGGTTCATAATCTTAATTCTTGGAAAGCAATAGGATCTTAAAATTCAGGAATAGCAAGGCTGCAAAACAAGGCCAGATTTCAAAAACTAAATATAATCCCTATTTGGGCCTGGAGTCCACACTTACCCTTCTCCTCCCATTCTCGTTATCTTAAGTCGGAAATCCACAGAGTTTAGACTGGGAGGTTTCCATTTCAAAATGTCATCACATCGACCAGGTTTGTATTTCTAAAGTAGATTAAAATAAAAGCAATTAGTAAGAAGCTAAAATATAGGGTTCAATTCATTGAATATACTGTTACTTTTTATTAAACAAAATTGCCACTTTTTATTTTCATTTTGGTATTTTTAATTAATCTGTTTGTCTTTTTATTTGTGTAGTATGTATACACGCCAAGGCTTAAGTGTGGTAGTCAGACAAAACAGGTTGTTAGGTCTCAATAAATTCCTTTTCCCAAAGTCTAGCATTTAGACAAATCCTACCATTCCCTCAGGGACCCCCCTTTCACAGCTTCTCTCCCTATATGGCTATGTGGGATCTTGGCCGCTTGGATCACTCAGGCCTCTTAGCCTCCCCCACTCCTCTCCCTTCTCTTCCTCTCTTAGCAACCTCCACTACCTACCTCATCCCCCTCAACCCCAGTATGGACCCTTCCAGATGCCTCTGTCTAAATTCTTCCTAATGTCTACAATAAACCTACTCCACCATACCTAGGAGCAGTCATGTGCTCATTTTCTTTAAACTCATAAATGACATAAATGAGTTCCCTTCCAAAGGAACCCAGTCACTCCACACCAAACTACTGACTTGACTCTCCTGAAATACGTATGGATCAATTGTTTCTGCTACCTTCTGCCACCCACCAAATACTAGAGTCCAACTCTTCAGCTGCTTCTTCCCCATTGCTTTTCCTAGTTGACTCTGTCTATGTCTCTCTGGCTCTTGTAGCCTGCTATGCCCTCCTGGGGCATCTCTGTATGCCCTCCATGTGGGCACATCTCTTTTTAAAGAGTTACCAGGTTCCCTCTTATCAGAACTCCCCACCACCACCTTTCCCAAAACCCTTTCCTAGTCTCCATAGGAGCTGTCTGCTCTACCTTTTCAGCTGCTTTCTCCTTTCCTCCTCTACTCGGTATCATCCCAGAGGTGCCTGCTTTGTCTACTATTACTACAAATGGCAAACCAATGTGCTAGAAAACTCCTTTTGCCTTATTGAGCCCTGTAAAGGCTCATCCCACCTGTAAATGGATGCCTTTCCTCTATGATTTAGGACATCTCTCTGACAAATCTCTCATTTCCCATGGGGACACCTGAAATTCTTGTGACCACTGACATTTATTCTCCTCAGGCCTTTGGTTTCAGCTCCTGCTGGAGCTTCATCTCACCTACCCTGAGGAGCTGCCTCCAGTCCCAAAGCTTCTATGAGCATGTCTAGATCACTGCACTAGTTTTTGGGTCCCTCCTGTGTAGTCCCATTTTCTGACTCTTTCTTCTTTTCTCCTTGGACTCAGTTTCCTCCAAGGAATTCGAGGTTTTATTCACTATGTTACTACAGTTTGTCTTCAATCCTGATCAGTGACCAACATACTCCATTTCCAAATTTTCTCATTATGGTAACAACTTCTGCTACCACACAAACAAATGATCCCCAACTCTCTTATATCCAAACTTGCTCTGACCTACACTACCAAAGGTGTCCTAACTGTAAGATGTTTCTATTTTCCACTGTGAAGGGAGTCCTCTCTCTTCGAAGCATCTATGTGAGGGGAGTCCTCCCTCTTCCAAGAAGGCTGTCTGTTGGCGGTTACAAGCAAGGTGGTAAAAGTTAAGCTAGCATCACAGTCATTTAAACCTGGATAGTTCATAACCATTTTCCCTTTACTCTGACACTGTCTCATTCTGCTGCCACAATGCAAGCATAGTTTGTTATTTTTTTACTGCCTTTTTTGAGAGATTATGTATCTACATAGCTACCTGTCTAGATCTGCATCTGTGTGCCTATGTATATATTATACACACACAGAGGCACTCACCACTGGCACTCCTTTCCTTGTGGACTGGAGTGGGGGTGATAATGTTTTCTCCAGTTCAACAGGAGTGCTTGACTCAAGTCAGTCATATTTATAATATGCCTGCTCTTTGTTTAAAATTAAATTTGGGCACAGAAAAAAATCTTTCATCTCTACTATTTCTTTGCTCTCTGCTCTCAAAAAAAATAATTTTTAAGAAGATGCTATAAGCTATCTCAGGATTTGTAATTTCATTAGGTATGATTTTAAAATGTATAATAAAATTTGGCTTAAAACTTATAACAAAAGGCTTATAGTTTAAAAATCCATACATAGGGGCTGATCAGATGGCTCAGTGGTTAAGAGCACTGACTGCTCTTCCAGAGGTCATGATTCAAATCCCAGAAATCACAAGGTGGCTCACAATCATCCGTAATGAGATCTGATGCCCTCATATGAACCAGCAGGGGCCCGGAGTGAGCAGGGCTGGAGCAAGAGGAAGAAGGAGAAGGGGAAGGGGGGGAAATCCAGACATAGATAGTCTTAATTTGCTATAACATACTATATATCTGACTCAATTCTTGTTTAGAATATACTGTATATGTAACTTGGATTTTTGATTAAAAAATATATCTACCAAAAAACTAGATGTTTTAATAGCAGCCACATGGCTCATCTCCATCTCAGCTGATGACATGCAATAACTTCACCACAATCCTGTTTAAGAGGACTACATGGTATAAGCCAACTAAGGCAGCACCTATAAGACTTCTTGGTTCTACTGAGCCCTTGGTTTATCATTGTATCTACTTTTTAGACTAAGGAGGCAACCACAAAGATCTCTAAAATATTTCGTATTAGTATAGATTTTGTATAATGATAAATTTCTACAGTTATAAAGATATACTCAGATTAACAGTAATTGACTTAAAGATAGATGTCCAGCCTCTATGCCTTTGCTCACTTTGCTAAGCCTCAGCTATTTAGATAAACAGAGTCATATAAAAGACTGTGACATTCTGAAATGGTACACTATAGAAGGATCAAAAAAGTAAGGCTTCCAGTCTCTGTGTAAACTGTATTTATGGTCCAGTACAGTTTCCAATTTCTCTATGAACTGTTCACAGTTTAAAGCTTTACTTTTATGCTCAAAGATCTTCAGTTAAGTCTTCAGCTCATGCATTTAGGGTTCAAACTTAACAGGGATAAAGCTGTACAATCCTGGTCATGTAAAAGCTACTAACTTGTTATAAACTAATAAAGATAACTAAGACATGCAAGTAGTAGTCAGTCACCTTATAAATGATAAAATTCTTTAATGTGCTCAAAGCTGTACTCTTAATCATGCCAAGTACAGATGTAGTCCATTTAGTGACAAGCTTTATTTACTTTCCTATATATGTCTCCAAGGTTAAGCCTAAAGCAAATAACTAAAACCAAATTGTTTTAATTCAGGTCTACTTAATAGATGACTCCTCACACTCTTCAGAGATCTGCTGGATATGGCACTTAAAATGTTTAATTTTAATAATGCTTTTTAAATGCTGAATATGAGCTGGGCAGTGGTGGTGCACGCCTTTAATCCCAGCACTTGGGAGGCAGAGACAGGTGGATTTCTGAGTTCTAGGCCAGCCTGGTCTACAGAGTGAGATCCAGGACAGCCAGGGCTACACAGAGAAACCCTGCCTCGAAAAACAAAACAAAAATGCTGAATACGGCATTTAAAATGTTTAATTTTTTTTAAAAAGGTTCCCATGATAGACAGAAATGCCAGCTCTAGAGGTGACCCTAAGATCTCCAAAGATGACTCTTAACTCTTTATCTTGTGTCCCAGCAGATTTCTAATCAACTGCAGACTGCTTGAAAACTGCCTGCAAACACCAACCCCAGTGTTCCTTGGAACCTGCATCCTAGACCCCTCCAAAGAAGCCTGTACGCCCTAGCTCCAGGTGGTCCTACAGAACCTGGGCTACAAGCTAAACAGATGTTCTCCAGCCTGCACACCCTTCCCTGTCCCCAATTCTTTCACCATCATTCCAACCATCCAGATAATGATGCCTCAGATTCAGCTGGAAATAGTTATAGAAGAGACTACATCACCCCTTTATAATCAACAAAAAGGCTGGAATGTTAAATCCCAAGAAACTCCATTTCCCAAAGTCTGGCAATTAGACAAAAAGTCAGCATTCACTCCAGACTTAAAATAGTTCCTACTTGCTAAAAGGAGTCAGTCTCCTTATCTCTGGCAAAAAGAAGCATGGCTCCTCCATTAACCTACGCCTGAGGTACGTGTTTAACATATCAGACACTGGCCACCAGACTGTCTCAAGTCATCCTAGCTGGCATGCATAGCCCACCTCTTAACCACAGGCTCTCCAATCCCTGAGCTTCACTTCTATTCCTCCAGCCTCTGATCCCTATAGAACCTCAGCTGCTTTTGCTATGTGCCCTCTTGGTTCTGCAAGCTCTCTTGGGCTCTTGGTCAGTGGCTCCTCTCCTAGCTCTCCCCTCTCTTCTCTTCCCCTCTCATTTCCCCCTTTCCCTCTCCTCTCATGGCCCAAGTCACTCTGGACCCTTCCATATGCTCTGGCTGTGCTTCCTCATATCTACAATAAGAACCTCCTTATCCCATACCTAGGTACAGTCACGTCTGCATTTTCTTCATTCACAAGAGCAGTTCCCTTCTTACACCATGTGAATTACAAGGACCAAATAATGATTTATTATAGTAAATTTTAAAAATCTGCTTAAGGGGAAAAACTACAAAGTATAGAGTTATGCAATAATTTTGTTTGCTTTAGACAAGACTTAAGTATCCCAGACTAGCCCCCAACTCCCTACCTCTCAATATAGTAACTTGTATTTCTTCATTTATGTAGTTGAAATCTAAATGGCTTCTTTGCCGAAGGGTTCAATTACACTACTCCTGACTGCTTTTCCTAGTTTTTTTGTTTGTTTGTTTGTTTGTTTGTTTTTGGTTTTGGAGAGTGGGGGTGTGTATGCACATGGTACACATGTATAGAAATAGGAGGTCAGCATTTGGTGTCTTCCTTAATGGTTTTCTCACTGAGTCTGCGTCTGCTGACTGGCTGGCCATCAAACCCTAAGACCCTCCCTATTCTGCCTTCCTAATTCTAGGATTACAAGGATGCACCACTACACCCAGGCAGTGCTTACTGTTTTAGACAAGGTATCATGAAGGTCAACACAGCCTCAAA